AGCTCCAAATTACCACCACAATGCGTCCGATAAAGTTGTATTTTCCTGTCCTGCGAAGTGCAGCTCATTGTTCTCCATTATGTCCTATTGCAGGCTAATGGAGGCTCACTGGAGACAGCAATGGGAGGACTGGAGGGGATGTCCGCTGGGCGTAGTTTGGGCCATATTCACACTTGCTGTTGGGTCCAATAGGGATTACATACAAGAACCCCAGCAGGGAAGGGGGCCCGGTGATCAGCTGTGGGAGGCAGCCCCACTGAAAGCAATGGGAAGCAGCTGGCACCCGCGCTAATCATAGCTGCTTGTATGTAATTGCTCATGTAATGGTCACCTGCGTTTAATCAGCCCTGGGTGCAGACAGTTCTTGCATGTAATTGGTGTTGGGCCCATTTGCAAGTGTGGGAGCGCTACAAGAGTTTGTACAGCCCTTTCAGATCTTTTATTTTGCAACATCCAATGCGTTTTGGGGACTCAACACCTCCCTTTGTCAGGGCTAAATTACCAATGCGTTTCAGGGGCTCGACACTTCCCTTCATCAGGGCTAAATTATCAATACATTTCAGGAGCTAAACACCGCCCTTCATCAGGGCTAAATTACCAATGAGTTTCGGGGGCTCGACCCCTCCCTTCGTCAGGGCTAAATTACCAATGCGTTTTGGGGGCTCGACACCGCCCTTCGTCAGGGCTAAATTACCAATGCGTTTTAGGGGCTCGACACCTCCCTTCATCAGGGCTAAATTACCATTACGTTTCGGGGGCTCGACACGTCCCTTCATCAGGGCTAAATTACCATTACGTTTCGGGGGCTCAACACCTCCCTTTCTCAGGGCTAAATTATCAATGCGCTTCGAGGGCTCAATACCGCCCTTCATCAAGGCTAAATTACCAATGAGTTTCGGGGGCTCAACACTGCCCTTCGTCAGGGCTAAATTACCAATGAGTTTCAGGGGCTCGACCCCGCCCTTCGTCAAGGCTAAATTACCAATGAGTTTCGGGGGCTCGACACTGCCCTTCATCAGGGCTAAATTACCAATGATTTTCGGGGGCTCGACACCTCCCTTCATCAGGGCTAAATTACCATTTGCAAGTGTGAATGTGTCCTAAAGGCTAGGTTCACATTTGTGCGATGCAGGAACGCACACAAAATTGGGAGTTCTCGCAGTGCAAAAAAAAATAAAAAAAATAATAACATGCATCCCTTTTGTAGGTGTGTGGCCAAAACGAATGGTGATGAAGTACCATGCCTTCTTATACTATTATGTTTTTATAATGCCATTATACAGCACGAACAGTTTACTATGGTGCGCCATGTGCGATTTGGATGAGGTAGGTAGCCCAGTCAAATGAATTTAATTCACTGTAAATATTCAAAGAAAACGCACCCCTCCATCCATTTCTCCTTACTTTATTTTGCTGAGAATTCATTTTTAAAAGCACGCTCTGGTATTTCTGGCAGCGGTCATCTTGAGTAAAGGCAGATGTAGTATTTAAATCCTGGAATCCATCTGCCCTTAGCTCAGGCATTGGCTAAGAACCCTCCCCACCCCCCCCTTCTCCTGAAGGCTCCTGGGATGTGTAACATCATTTGCCTAGGCATGGAAAAGAGGAAGTGACTGAAGAAATGTAAAAAAAAAAAAGTTTAAAACAAGTAAATATGATATATTTTCCTATCTATTTAATAATGCTAGCGGCATAAGGATTAAAAAGTAGTCAGTGTCTATTGATAGAGTGAAGTTCCGCTTTAAGGTGCAAAATAAACATGCAGCAACGTGTATATATATATATACACACACACCGCACATACAGTGCCTTAAAAAAAGTCCCCCTCCCCCTTGAAATGCCCCCCACGTGATCACGTTACAATGTGTTTTATTGGGATTGGATGTGATAGACCGACACAAAGTGGCACATAATTGTGAAGTGGAAGGAAAATGAGAAATGGTTTCCAACATTTGTGACAAATAAATCTGTGAAAAGTGTGGCGGCATTTGTATTCAGCCCCCTTTACTCTGATACCCCTAACTATAATCTAGTGGAACCAATTGCCTTCAGAAGTCACCTGATTAGTAAATAGAGTCCCCCTGTGTGTCATGTGATCTCAGTATAAATCCAGCTGTTCTGTGAAGCTCTCAGAGGTTTGTTAGAGAACATTAGTGAACAAACAGCATCATGAAGGCCAAGGAACACACCAGACAGGTCAGGGATGACGTTGTGGAGAAGTTTAAAGCAGGGATAGGCTATAAATAAAGCTCCCAAGCTTTGAACATCTCACGGAGCACTGCTCAATCCATCATCTGAACATGGAAAGAGTACGGCACAACTGCCAACCTGCCAAGACATGGCTGTCCACCTAAACTGACCGGCCGGGCAAGGAGAGCATTCATCAGAGAAGCAGCCAATAGGCCCATGGGAACTCTGGAGGAGCTGCAGAGATCCACAGCTCAGATGGGGGAATCTGTCCACAGGACAACTATTAGTCATGCACTCCACAAATCTGACCTTTATGGAAGAGTGACGAGAAGAAAGCCATTGTTGGAAGAAAGACATAAGAAGTCCCGTTTGCAGTTTGTGAGAAGCCATGTGGGGGACACAGCAAATGTGGAAGAAGGGGCTCTGGTCAGAGGAGACCAAAATTCAACTTTTTGCCTAAAAGCAAAACGCTATGTGTGGGGGGAAACTAACACTGCACATCATCCTGAACACATCATCCCCACCGTGAAACATGGTGGTGGCAGCATCATGTGGTGGGGATGCTTTTCTTCAGTAGGGACAGGGAAGCTGGTCAGAGTTGATGGGAAGATGGATGGAGCCAAATACAGGGCAATCTTAGAAGAAAACCTGTGAGAGTCTGCAGAAGACTTGAGACCGGGATGGAGGTTCCCCTTCCAGCAGGACAACGACCCGAAACACACAGCCAGAGCTACAATGGAATGGTTCCCATCAAAGCATCTTCATGTGTTAGAATGGCCCAGTCACAGTCCAGACCTAAATCCAGTGGAGAATCTGTGGCCAGACCTGAAAATAGTTGTTCCCAGACACTCTCCATCCAATCTGACAGAGCTTGAGGGATTCTGCAAAGAAGAACGGGCAGAAATGTCCTCTCTAGATGTACAAAGAGACATCCCCAAAAAGACTTGCAGCTGGAATGGCAGCCACAGGGGGTCCTACAAAGTATTAACCCCGGGGGGGCCGAATACAAATGCTGCCACACTTTTCACAGATTTATTGGTCACAAATGTTGACAATCTTTGGATCAATTTTGTACTACAGGACACAGAGGTCAGTGGATGGAACCACAGGGCGTAGTAGGGTACAAAGAATTGCAGCGTATTGGATGCTAGAGCTTACTGTTGCAGTCTTTGGTTCCATTTGTCACTAGGGAGCACAGAGAATGGTGGGTGGGACTGTAGAGGGCGGTGAGTACAAGACATTGCTGGGTGTGGTGGATGGCGGTTTCCCCCATTGCAGACTTTGGTTACATCCCTCATTACAGAACAAAGGGGGAGATGGATGGAACCACAGGGGTCAGGAGGGAGCAAAGAATTGCTGGGTGTGCCAGATACTTGCACCCCCCTGCTGTGGATGTTGGTTACATCCATCACTACAAGATATGGGGCAGGTGGAAGGAACCACAGAATTCAGCAGGGAGCGAGACATTGCCAGGTATGTCAGATGCTTGCAGCCCCTGCTGTGGTCTTTTCTTCCATCCAATACTATAGAGCACTGAAGCCAGAAGATGGAACCACAAAAGGCAGAAGAGGGAAAAGAAATGGCAGAGGGAGATGAATGTCGCTCTTCCCCATTGCAGACTTCAGTTCCAGCCTTAATTGCAGGACACAGGAGCTGGTGGATGGTACCACAGAAACAACAGGGGACAAGGCATTGCTGGGTGTGTTGGACAACCATTGCAGTCTTTGGTTCCACCCATCATTACAAGACACAGGAGCTGGTGGATGGAACCAAAAAAAATGCAGCAGGGGACAAGAAATTGCAGGGCTGCTTCACCCCCCGTTGCAGTCTTTGGTTCCATCCTTCACTACAGGACACGTGAGCTAGTGGATGGAACCAAAGAAAGCAGCAGGGATTTCCAGGGATGCTGGATGCAGAAGATTCTTTGGGTGAGCTAATGAAGCTAGGACTCGCTTACCAGTATTCTTCACATTCTCCTGCTGCAAGATGGAAATTTAAAGAGAAAGTAGCACAGAATTTGTTTACAAAAGCTGTACAAAAGGCCATTAGGACTCTCTGATGGCAAATACAAAAAACAGAATTTTGATTTAAAAAAAAAACCACAATAAGAGACACAACTTGAAAAGTTGTAACATTTTATTCTTCCAGGTCTCTCCTGTGTTTGGTTCGGCAGAGCTGGTAGAGAAGATGACAAAGTCTCCAGTTTGGTTCTCCGGATTTGGGGTTCTCGAGGCCCCCCGATGGAGGCTTCATGATGATACTGCAGACGAAACGCAGCTTATATAAAAAGCAAGGCACAACGTCAGTCTACAAAATATTAAAAAGACTGGAGCAGCACTTGAAGAACAGATGGAGGCACCGGTGGTGAGTGGCACAATGGTAGGTTTCCTGAGCGCCTTGCCGCCATTAGAGCTGCGGATCAGGGCGGAAAGGATTGCAAACGATCGTTAGCAAGGCATCAAGTTGGTTAAAAAAAAAACAAAAAACAGCTTCCCGAATCTCCGGGACACTGGAAGAGAATGATATTGCACAGTTCTTAGAATTGGCGGGCTGAGGTGACCCGCTCGCCCCTTGTACCTACTGCTGACGTAGCGGCAGGTGTGTGGAGGGGGGCCCCCCCCTTCATCATCAGATCCTAGAGGTAGGAATACACGGAGCCATCCTGGCTCAGGATGGAGAGTTCAGTAACAAATAAATAATGTTCACGCCCCCCCCTCTCATTGCTGCGGATTGGAGACGGCTTGGCACTCCCGCGGTCGGCGTCCGCTGTAGGGTCGAAAAGTGAAAGTGTCCCGCGAAGGCTGCGACCTTTAAAGCAGCATGAGAACGGAAGCCAATAATAACCACAACCATACGCGGCCATAGAAGAGCTCTGCGGCTCCCGCGATTTTATAGGTACTATTCTGGAGGCTGCAGGAGCCCCCGTGCCAGCCAATGTAACACTGACAGCGGAACTGAGTCTTCAGAAGGGCCACGTCCCCCGGCGAGAGCCGACCCTCCGCCCAGATAGGAACAGAGGCGTTGGACGTGGGCGTGCTGGCCGTCACGATGCGGAAACTGGCGGGGTTGAGGTGCAGGAAGGCGTCGGTGATGTTTTCTTTGCGCAGGCAGCGTCCGTTCCCGTCGCACAGCGCCTGGCTGCAGTGAGACGCCGCGGTGGTGACATTCACAATGTAGCGACCCAAATCCTCATCCACATAGGACTTGATCTTCTGGCAGGTTTCCTGCAGGGAGGAGAGTCAGATTACTAAAAGGGTCGGCAATGACCACCATCATGGACCATATTGCCAGGTGTTGGCAGCAAGTGGGCCTTGAACAGCAATTACAGCTCAAATCACCCTTCAAGCATTCCAAAAATCACCAAAACCATCCATCTGTGCAAAACGGGACATGAGATGGTAGGACAAGAGATGGTAGGACAAGAGATGGTAGGACAAGAGATGGTAGGACAAGAGATGGTAGGACAAGAGATGGTAGGACATGAGATGGTAGGACAAGAGATGGTAGGACAAGAGATGGTAGGACATGAGATGGTAGGACAAGAGATGGTAGGACATGAGATGGTAGGACATGAGATGGTAGGACACGGGTGTCAAACTGGTGGCTCTCCAGCTGTTGCTATACTACAAGTCCCATGAGGCACTGCAAGGCTGAGAGTCACAAGCATGGCTCCCAAAGGCAGGCATGATGGGACTTGTAGTTCCACAACCGCTGAAGGGCCGCCAGTTTGACATCCCTGCAGTAGGAGAAAGCAGGGTGAGAGAGCGCCTACTAAGTGTAGTATAAAGGGCATGCTTATTAGTTAAAACAAATTGGCAACTCACATGTACAAACCAGGGGCGGACTGACAACTCATGGGGCCCCCGGGCAATAGGGGATCATGGGGCCCCTGTGTCCTTGCCCAAACTCAAAAAAGCCTATGAAAAAAAAAAAAAAAAAAAAAAAAAAAAAAAAAGTACCAGGGGCATCTCATGATGCCCCCTACTGACCCCGGGCCCTCGGGCAGTGCCCGAGTTTCCAAATGGTCAGTCCGCCCCTGGTACAAACACATCCCCCTCCAGAGGCCTTCCCCCCCCCCCCCCCCATGACCAGGCCATTTTATGGCGTTATGGCACTGCATTATTTTAACTGCTAATTGCACGGTCATGCAACACTGCACCCAAATTAAATGTACACCCTTTTTTACCCACAAAAAGAACTTTCTTTCAATGGTATTTGTTCACCTGTGCGTGAAAAAGGGGGACCAATAATTTTAAGAAAAAAATAAAAATAAAAAAAAATGTATAATATATATATATATATATATATATATAAAAAAAACACTTTTTGCTATTACACATCTGAAAAAAAAAAAATATATAATCCCAATACGTGTAAATTAATTGGTTTACGTGAAAGTTAGTGTTTACAAAAATGGCGGTATAGATACTGGGATTTCTTTTTTTTCCCCCCATTTTTACTAGTAATGGCGGCGATAAACGACTTGTAGCGGGACTGCGGCGGACATTCTGACACTGGGGGGTGGGAAACTAACTTTGTATCATTGACATCCCCAGTGACACCAATACAGTGCTCAATGCTAACAAAAAGGCCTGCCACTGTACTAATGGCATCGGGCAGGAAGGGGTTAACAATGAAGGGTGATCAAGGGGTTAACTGTGAGCTGGGAGTGTTTTTACTAGGGCGGGTTCACTGTAATCACACTGCTATCATGGCTGTTGTGCACAGCCATCCAGAGCAGTGTGCCCGAGCGGACAGGGAGGATGACTGTTAGTAAACAAAGGGAGACAAAGGATCAGGACAGGGGAGCAGGTCTGGGTAGAAGTGGGAACCACTCACCTTATTTTTGGTGTATTCTGCCTCACCCCAAAATATTACTCCGGCCACCCCTTGCGCAGCACTCTCCCCAATGGTGGAGATGAGATCCTCCTGGAGGTAAAAGATTAAAAATAAATTTAAAATTAGAGTCTTAGATCATCAGGGGCATCATAGGAGCAGCCCAGGCATTGTACATCATTCATCAACTTCAATGTTAAATAAACCTGAAGCCCTCAACTTCTGAGTTCTGGCAAACTGAGTGCAAATCCCCTGCTCTGCCCTTCTAATGCCCCAGGAGCTGGCACCACAGACCCATAGTTACCCCAATATTCTTGGGTAGGGATGAGGATGAGCATGCCTGGGTTCAGTTTGGACGCCCATATATATATATATATATATATATATATATATATATATATATATATATATATATATATATATAAATAATGTTTCTTTTTTGTTTGCTCTTCCTTCATTTATTAAATGTTATCATTCCTTACATGGAGGCTGCATTTCTTTTCTTTTCGAAGGCCTTCCCCCCCCCCCCTTGGTTCTCACCTGGTGATCCTGCCATTAACACTTCCTGTCCTACAGTGACAACACTCACTGTTCTGAAACCACGGAGGAATAGTGTTGTCACCCTTGGCTGCTCTCTGGATATGGACAATACTTCCACTTCTCCCTATTGAGAACCAAGGGGGGAGTTTTATAGTTCACAAGAGACAGATTGCGCAGACCTGGGGCCGAAAGCTAACTTGGCATTTAGGGGTTAATGTGAAAGGTTTTTTGTTTGGGATGGACGCGCCCCGTCTTGCAGAAATTCCCGTTTTGCTCATTCCTTTCCTTCTTCCATGAAAACATTTTTTGGCCCCCGATGTGTGGGCGGAGCCAGATTCCCGCCTGGGGTTGGGCACCTCCGACTGCTCTTGTCATCTGAGATTATTCACAATAAGCTGCCTCAGTGGGGCTATGTAGAGTTTTGATTGGCTGCTAGAACTTCTTTCACTTCACTCATCAGTGTCTGCCCCCATGAACTACAAGTCCCAGCATGTCCCACCGATAGCCGCATGCAAGCTTGCTGAAACCAAGCTCCTCGGCAGCATCTGTGCAATTACAGCAGAGTGACACGATCTGTAGGCGAGATGATCCCTGATCGATTTACTGCTCTCAGAGCTTACCCTTTATACAAAGTATCCAGAGAGTCTCCATGTAACAGTCAGTACATGCTGCTAAACTCTGAATTTTACCTGCTGTGTGTGGCCACTCCTCATCCTATACCATGTAAGCCAATGTGGGCTAGGAAAGGAAAAATACAGATCCCATGATGCAGCACACTCCTCCTATCCGGCTCTGCTACTGTGCTATGGGGAAGGTTTTATATGAAGAGAGGAGGAAAAAAAGAAAAAAAAAAAAAAAAGGGAGAAAAAGAAGGGAGAAAAAGAAGGGAGAAAAAGAAGAAGAGGAAAGGAAGGGAGAAAAAGAAGAAGAGGAAAGGAAGGGAGAAAAAGAAGAAGAGGAAAGAGGAGGGGAGAAAAAAAGAAGAGGAAAGAGGAGAAAAAGAAGGGAAACAAGGAGAGAGGAAAAAAAAAAAAAAAAAAAAAAAAAAAAAAAGGAAGAAGAAGGGAAGGGGGAAGAGGAAAGAGGAAAAAAGAAGGGAAAAAGAGGAAAAGATATAGATATTAATCATTTCGGGGAAAAAAGAAGGGGAAATGCCTCAAGCATTCTCACAGCCATCAGGAATAAAAATGTTCCCTATGATCGTCCGCTCCCATCTATTGCCCATAATACAGTATTTTCCTGCTTGAGCCATTTCAGGAAAATACCACATTATAGCCACTAGATGGAGCAGATGATAATTACTTGTGGCAGCTGTTTGAACGCTTGAAGCATTAATACAGCAATTTTTCTGAAAGCTGCAACATCTCCAAGCAGCATAAAAATGATGTATTGATTGATTGATTGATTAGTGAGGAGTGCAGCGACAATGCGGTAGGCTGGAATGTGTCACAGTCGTCTCACCTGGGAGAGGAAGTCCAGCCTTTTCATGTAGGTGGGCCTCGTATACACAAAGACGGGGACGGAGTAGTCTCGGTGGTGTTTGTAGGCGATCCTCATGGCCTCTTTCACGCGGTGGTGAACAAACTTGCGTCCATTTGAGGAAGAAGTCAGCATGGGGTCCAGGTAGATGGATGGGAAAAGGGCGGTACTCTCCTCCCACAGCCACCATAACTTGTCATTCCGCGAGATCTCCACGTCGGGGCACTTGCCGGTATAACTGTCCCAGTTGGTCTGATAGTCGTGATTGTAACAATCCGGGAACAGGTAATACCCCCACAGCTGTCGGGGTCGAAAGTTTTTGCCGTATCGCAGCGTTTCCGCCATGAACTCGCGGGCAGCGTTCTCAAATTCATATTGAGCTTGCCTGACCTGGTCCTCGCTCGTCCAGTTGGGATGGCGAGAATTCACCAGCTGCCGCGAGACCTGCCTGTAAATGTCCTTCGCCTGCCAGTTCCGGATCCAAATGGGACGCCATTCCTCCCAGTCGATGACCGACAGTCCGTCCTTCTCCTTATCGGCTTCCGGGATGTATTTGTTGATCCCCTTCGGCATCTCGTCCAGGTGGGCCCGCAGGCTGGCGTTCTGCGGCACGCCTCCATTGATGGAAACGTTGCGCTCGGTGATGGAAGGGTAGAACCCCAGGCGCTCCTTGTAGAAGATGGTGAGGTTTTGCCTCGTGAACCCCAAATTGGGGGAGGCGTTGAGGTCAAAGAGCCGCAGGTCAAACGGTATGTCGAAACGCGTCGGACAGTCCTGGGTGGGTGCATTCCATGCCACCATGAAGGGGCGACTGCTGAATACGGGTCTGGCGGTGGGCTTGTCCTGATCATTGCTGGATGCCCGGGCATCATCACCGACGACGAGGAGACACCACAGGACGCAGGAGAGGCCGACGTGGAACGTCATTCTGAAAATACAGAAACAGAGAAAACCTGGAGAGGAAAACAGAGAGAGCAACATTATAACCAGCATATGATGGACCCCCGTATATCAACAGGATCTGTATATACACCCGGCATGTCCCCCCCCCCCCAATATAATCTGTATATACACCCGGCATGTCCCCCCCCCAATATAATCTGTATATACACCCGGCATGCCCCCCCCCCCCCCAATATAATCTGTATATACACCCGGCATGCCCCCCCCAATATAATCTGTATATATTTAAATATGTGTATATCACCTAACCCCAAAAACCCCTCAAAAAGTCACGCTTTCTCCCCAGAAAGCAACACAGTATTATAACCTTTTTGAAATTATATAAACAAATTCAAATAGATGAATATAATAATAAAATTCAAAAATTGAGTATAATAAAAAATTCAAAAATGAAAAAAATAAATAAAAAAGTAAATAAAAAAGTCCAATGCAAAGTGTCCCAAAATGTCCCGATACAAACAAAAATAGTGTCAAACAGAAATGGTGTCCGAAAATTGTCCAAATATCCAAATTTTATTCATCCAATCAGAAGAAATTCCCTTTCATCCCGTAATACCTCAAAAAAAGACAAATTCAGAAATCTAGTGCATTACCTTTATAATATATTCTCTCCCTCGTGCAAAAACAAAACACAAAAAACAAAAAAATGTGCAAACACTATATATGTGTATCTCTTCCGTGCACATGTGAATGAACTGTGACCACTCAGTGAACACTGCAACACTGTGTATCCACCAACACCAATAGTATTAAATACTATTACCCTCTGTATCCATATACCAGCATCCAAATGAGATCTTCTAAATGCTCCAATGAAATTATTCCAAGGTCCTCAAAAGACAAGAAGGGTCTCAAGGCTCATATTCAAGGTGTAATAAAAAGATTTAATAAGAACTTACATTAAAATTTCATTATTCCGGCTTCCAACATGCTTCCTATGTGAGTCCTATCAAACAAATGCGATATGCCATGTGTTGACAACCCACAAAATGGCCGCGGCGACACTTCCGGTCTGCGTGCGTGCGTCACTCACTACGTCACACCCTTAACGCGTTTCGTCACTTCCGGACTTCGTCTGAATCTGTATATACACCCGGCATGCCCCCCCCCCAATATAAATAATCTGTATATACACCCGGCATGTCCCCCCCGAATATATCAGTATGATCTGTATATACACCTGGCATGTTCCCCCCCCAATATAATCTGTATATACACCCGGCATGTTCCCCCCCCCCAATATAATCTGTATATACACCTGGCATGTCCCCCCCCCCCCAATATATCAGTATGATCTGTATATACACCCGGCATGTTCCCCTCCCCCCCCCAATATAATCTGTATATACACCCGGCATGTTCCCCTCCCCCCCAATATAATCTGTATATACACCCTGCATGTACCCCCCCGGTATATCAATATAATCTGTATATACACCCGGCATGTCCCCCCCCAATATAATCTGTATACACACCCGGCATGTCCCCCCCCAATATATCAGTATATTCTGTATATACACCCGGTATGTTCCCCCCCCCCCCATTATATCAGTATAATCTGTATATACACCCGGCATGTCCCCCCCCCACCCCCAATATATCAGTATAATCTGTATATACACCCGGCATGTCCCCCCTCCCCCAATATATCAGTATAAATCTGTATATACACCCGGCATGCCCCCCCCCCCCCCAATATATCAGTATAATCTGTATATACACCCGGCATGCCCCCCCCCCCCCAATATATCAGTATAATCTGTATATACACCCTGCATGTTCCCCTCCTCCAACCCCAATATATCAGTAGGACCATAATCTGTATATACACCCGGCATGTCCCCCCCCCCCAAATATATCAATAGGACCATAATCTGTATATACACCCGGCATGTCCCCCCCCCCAAATATATCAATAGGACCATAATCTGTATATACACCCGGCATGATCTCCCCCCCCCCCCCCAATATATCAATAGCACCATAATCTGTATATACACTTGTATACATTACAACCAACATGTTCCTCTCCCCCCCCCCATATAGCAATAGGGCCATAATCTGTATACATTGCAACCAACATGATCCCCTCCCCTCCCCCCCCATAGCAATAGGACCATAATCTGTATATATACACACACACCTGTATACATTACAACCAACATGTCCCCGTCCCCCCCCCAATATATCAATAGGACCATAATCTGTATATACACACACACGTATACATTACAACCAACATGTCCCCCCCATATATCAATAGGACCATAATCTGTATACATTACAACCAACATGTCTCCCCCCCCCAATATATCAATAGGACCATAATCTGTATACATTACAACCGACATGTTCCCCCCCCCCCCCCCCCCCATATATCAATAGGACCATAATCTGTATACATTACAACCGAGATGTTCCTCTCCCCCCAATATATCAATAGGACCATAATCTGTATAACACCCATATACAGTTTTTACTCGCTTTACAGGGGAGAAAGAGAAACCCACCCCCCCCAAAAAAAAAAAAGTGCATATGCACAGTGCCAGACATTGTGCGACAGTCTGCTTGGGGGCTCCGACTCCCGGCACAAAGGCTGTAACTGGCTTCCACTCGCCCAACAAATAAAATTAAAAATACTAACAATTTACAAAAAGCCATCCACAACTCTGCCCCGGCTACATCACCAACCTGGTCTCAAAATACCAACCAATCCACTCTCTTCAATCCTCCCAAGACCTTCTGCTCTCTAGTTCCCGTGTCACCTCCTCCCATGCTCGCCTCCAGGACTTCTCACGAGTATCTCCCATCCTATGGAACTCCCTACTTCAATCTGTCCAACTGTCTCCTAATCTTTCCACCTTTAGACAAACCCTGAAAACCTCTTTAAAGAAGTCTACCTACTTCTACCTAGTAAACCGCCATTTATTTCCTCCATCAGCTCACCTCCCCCCCCCCCCCCCCCCACCCCCACAGCTATTACCGTTTGTATCACTCGACCCTTCCTCTAGATTGTAAGCTCCCAGGATCAGGGCTCTCTGTTTCCTCTTCTACCAAATTGTAATGTCTACCTTCATATTGTACAGCGCTGCGCAGACTGTTGGCGCCATATAAATCCTGTATAACAACAGGGAAGGTAGGATGCCGGACGCCGTTAGTACAGGGTGTACCGATCCGTGTATCTATTTCGGGACCATCCGTTGGGTTTCCAATGACCAGAACTGCTCCGGCTGACGTACAATTTATATTTGGCCCCTTGATTTACTCCGTCTGGGTCTAACACTTCAGCTTGTGTCAGGGGTCAGAGGCCATCTAAAGTCTGACAGTTGCTGCCTGTTAATTACCTGACCTTGCACGCGGTCTCCATCCTCTGAAGGTTTGTTTGGTCTGGAGACTGGACAAGTGGGAATTATCTAAATCTGAACTCCAGACATGCAGACAAATACTCCCTGGAAACCGATACAAGTGGATGGGGACAGATACTCCCCCCCTCCCCCTCCTCTCCGAAGTCCACCATCGTATTCATAGAAAATAAAGTCAATGGTCTGGGTTGGACGCATTCTGCCTACTATGGTTATACGGTATGTTCTAGGTAGGTCCGCATCAGGCGCATTATTCCACGTGGTGAGCACCATCCAGCGGCAAAGAAAAAGATCTCAGCATGAGAATTTTGCAAAGCACTTCCATGGAGTGAATCAGCTCCCCTTAAAAAATGACACATTTGTCAAGTCTAAGGGAGTGGCGAGAACGCAGCAAACCAATTAGAGACTTTTGTAGCATGTGGGACGCAGTTTTTGAGGATCTTCACGAGTCTGTTGGACCTCCCAGTCCAAAATCATGATTATTTATATAGAGTTTCCCCTTTCTCCATGATCATTAACATGATGTTGTTCCTTACCATGTCCATTAATATGGGGTGGCCTTCCTCCTCCATGGCCTTACCTAAAGAGCTGCCCCCCTCGACATCCTCATTAATATGTAGTTGCCCCCCACCATGGCCATTTTTATGGAGTTGCCCTCCCTCCCCTCCACTATGGCTAATTACATGGAGTTGGCTCTTTTCTGTCTAGAACATCCTCCACTATTCTGGGAAGACTTTCCTCAAGATTTTGGAAGGTGTCTGTGGGGATTGGTCTTCATTTGTGAGGTCATGTACTGATGTTGGATGGGAAGACCTGGACTGCTATTGGGATTCCAATCCATCGCAAAGGACACTCAAGTTGCTCAACACCAAACTGGTCAAACCTTGACAAGACTTTGGAGGTTGTTTGTGGAAATGTGTGCCCGAGGTCAGGTACTGATGTTGGATGAGAAGACCTGGCTCACCAAAATTGTTCCAATTCATCCCAAAAGGTGTTCAGTAGGGTTGACGTCAGGGCTCTGTACAGGATACTATTTCTTCCACACCAAACTGGTCAAACCATGTCTTTATGGCGCTGGACATCTCATTCCTAAAACCATGACAGTTATTATGGATTTTCTTCATGACCATTAATATACTCTTCTGATAAGGCTTTCCACAAGTGTGCCTGGGGGAATTTTTACCCATGTGTGAGGTCAGGTACTGACATTGGTTGAGAAGACCTGGCTCACCATCATCATTCTAATCCATCCCAAAAGGTGTTTAGTAGGATTGAGGTCAGGGCTCTGTGGAGAACAAGGTTTGACGCCACACCAAGCCTTCACACAAAACTTTGAAGATTGTCTGTGGAAAAGTGTGCCCATTTGTGAGGTCAGGTACTGATATTGGATGAGAAGACCTGGATCACCATCATTGTTCCAAAGGTGTGCTGTAGGGTCAAGGTCAGGGCTCTGAGCAGGACACTTGAGTTCCTCCAAACCAAAACTGGTCAAACCGAGTCTTTATAGAGCTGGCATTGTACACGGGACAGTCATAGTGGAACAGAGAAGGGTCTTCACCAAACGGTTACCACAAAGTTGGAAGAGCACAATTGTCTACAATG